ACTTAGAGAAAAAAAAAAAAAGCCCAAAGATGGTTGAAAACCAAGCCGCAATCAATCAGTGCCAACACAGAAATCGCTTTATCAGATTTGACTTCTTCCTTTTGCATTTTTTCAGTTACTTCAGCATACGTGTACTATATTTACCTGAGACTTCAAGGAAAATATTAGTCCTATGACAAGTACTGGCAATAAATCACATGGGTCAATATTATAGAATTTTTAACATTCTAATTTAGTCTAAATAAATTTTCACTTCTGGTTTTCTCGTGATCTGTTATTTTGAAGAAAAAACTTGGATTATTTTCTAACTATTGAGTAGTTCTACATATAACATGTACATGTTTAAAATTAAATGTCTTAGATTTGTAATCTTTGATCACTTTGAAGAGTAAGAATATGTATTAGAAAACTGAAGAATATGGAATATTTAGTCTTTTTTTTTTTTTAGGATATACCTATAATCTTTTCTTCCTAAATTTTTTCTATAATGCTGCAAGAATCTTTGTTTTCATTCTTAAAGAATATAATTTTTTCACTCTTGATGTAGGTAGTCTCTGGACCTAAACTTTCCTGCTTTTCGAGACTAGAAGATCTCCTTTGACGAGTTGCACGTCAAAACTGAAAGGAGCAGTCTGTTGGGGGAAAAATGCTTCCGTTCCTGTAACTGAACATGGAGGGATTCTGAGCAATAGCTCATGTTGCAGCACTTCCCTTTCTGGTATGGCAGCTGAAAAAAATCGGGGTCCTTTCTTTTCTCTAAATTGTTAACAAATACACTAACCCAGTAACCATAGCTAGAAAATCCCAGTATTAACTTTTGACTAATGGTCATTCACTTTTTTTCCAGTTTTAGTCTTACTCTGAAACTCTATTTAAAAACTACAGGACATGAGGAATTCCTAATGAATATCAGGAGACTTCACTCATAATATTAGAAATCAGACATGATCATGCCATTAGAGCAATCCCTTGCTTGTTGAAGGTTTATTTTAAGTTATATGTGAATTTTGTTATATGATCCCTGTGCTATCCACAGGGAAATTTCACTAATTCTGCGTTAAGAAAATTAGACCCAAACTTTCCCTCCTTTACTGTAATTTACTTCCCTCAGAAGGAAAATGACTGAGTCACACCACTTAAGAAAATAGTGATCTTCAACCTCCTCTGCAGTCAACAGGCAGCTTCAAGGCGGAATCAGCCCACTTATCTCTCTTGATTGCATAAAGACTGCAGAGCAACAACAAATGTAAGTACCTCAGTTGTCTAAATTTAGGTGTGAGGAACCCTAGCCTGCCTTTTTTTTTTTTTTTTAATCAACATTTGCAAAAAAACACCAGCTTTGAAAGATATAAGCTGACTTTCCTTACAGGAGCTGTGTTGCTTTTTTCCTGGTATGTTCAATGTAGTCCAATACAGTACTGTTACTATTCTTCACAGGCAAATGCTAAGCCTTTTTTTACTATAATGAAGGCAAATCTCAAATTCGTAGTATTGTTGTTTAGCTACGTTTGGGCATTGGGCATTGTATCTGTTTTATTTATGTATACATTCCCTAGCAAAATCTTTAAATGGAAATATGACTCATTTCCATGTACAATTATATACAGAAATCAGCTTGCAGTTTTAAAACTAATTTACTTTGCAGTGTATTTTAGTCATATAAATAAGCATCCATTTCTTTAGATATGCTACAGTAATTGAAGTACCTGTGGATTGTACTGGGACCATGTAACAAAACCAGGCAGCCAAGCTGAAACGGAACTTTTCAGCATGACTGACTGCTGAACTCCATTTCTCTTAATAGGAGAACTTGTTATTTGCTGGGCTCAACATTGGGCTCTTTTACTGCACAACTGTGTTAACATCTATCATTTTCAATCACATTAGACCACACAAGCTTTGCTGGCTGTACAAATTGCACTGCAAGTTCCTAGGTTAACAATGGGACCTATGAGGTGAACTACTGACCCACTCTGGAGTCCTGCAGAGTCTTAAGGATGAGTTTATAAATTGCCTGCCACTAAGGCAACTCAGTTATTTTCAGAGTTAAGCATGGCATAGAGGCCTGTTCACAATAAACAGCTAGCTGAACAGGACGACAAGCAGCTGCTGCCAGCAGCACTGATAGCAATGTTGCTAGGGAACAGGAAGAGCCAAGCTTAAGAAAATAAAAGCATAATTCAATAACGACTACCAAAATCTGGCTTCATTAAGACAGTGAGTACTCTTAGAAATTATCAGGCCTTCCACGTTCAACCTGACAAGACGAACAGAAAAGTTTAGAGAGCAGCTGAGTCTTTAGCTGGAACTATAGCTGTTTAGCTTCAGTTCTAGATCATCAGCATGATGGCTGGCCACAAAGAAGAGTCCGCACACTTCAGGCTGTAAACACCACAGGCAGCCTCACTCACGGCTGGCAATAGACATGTCTTGGGGCAGAGACTGAAGCCCAAGTTTTACGGTCACATGAACATTCAACCACATTCACACTGCTTAGGCTGAATCTTTACCTAACCTGTGGGATCCATGAGCCCTTCTCAGCACTTGTGCAGCCTTGCCGGCAGCGTCCCAGTTGCACGCCGGAGTGGGACGTGTACCAGCCACCCCGACCACAGCATTGTCGGGCAGTTCTCATACTCCCCGGGACATTTCCAGATTGAGGGCACACACTATATTCTGTAAAACTGAAAAACAGAGGAGTTTTTAGCCTTTGTCTTTTTCTCCACAACCACACAAGACTACCAGAAGTGACCCGAAAGCAAAAATAGCGATACTGGCTTATGTAAGAAAGCCATTCAAAGTGGAAAGTAGAGGCAAACCAGGAAAGCGTTCTGGGCCCAGGACAAGAGAGCTCTTCAGGCTGGTAACTGCCAGCACCATCTCCATCCACTCATTTGAGACAATTACTTTTTCTTGTCCCATTTTGCACCATGATTTCAAAAGGGGCTACCTCATGGATTTTCAAATGGGCATAATGTATTTTTTTGATGACTTCTTGTTGAGTAAACATTTCTTCATTACTCAGCTAAGCAC